TTGAGAGGTACATTAAGCCTAATTAAAAACTCTCAGAAATCCCATCTGTCCTATCCCTTCTAAACAGATGTTTATTGAGATTTTTTTAAAGCCTCAGAAACTATCTTCGAAAAAAACAAAATTAAAAAAATTATAGATGCACTACATTGTGATTGCAAAAATTCTACTGAAAGTTGAACAGCAATATATCTGCTTATATAATCTAGAATGCAGAATTTAGAATTTTGCAGATTGGAGGCAAGTATCTGGGCATTATGGGTCATAATATGTACAAATATCCATTATATATCCAATATATCCATAATATACCAAGGACTTAACAGAATTCAGTCATCTGTATTCAGAGAAACAGATTTTGTCTCTTTGTTGTTATCATACTTTATCCCAGAAAGGATTTAAGGCATAGTAAGATATTCTTATTCTCATTTTACAGATAAGGCCTCTGAGATCCCAAGAGGCAGAGTGATCACACTAACAGGTACACAGAGTGAGGGAGAAAATCCAGGCTCCAACTGCCTGGCAGTGCACTCATTCCAATACTTATTCATTTCAAAACTAATCAAATGTGCCATAATATCCAAGGGTGATATATATTTTTAAAAAGATTTTATTTATTTATTTGACACAGAGAGAGAGAGAGAGGTCACAAGTAGGCAGCGAGGCAGGCGGGGGATGGGGAGGAGAAGCAGGCCCCCTGTTGAGCAGAGAACCTGACTCGGGGCTCTATCCCAGGACCCTGAGATCATGACCTGGCTGAAGGTAGAGGTTTAACCCACTGAGCCAGGCACCCCAAGGGTGATAAATTTTTAAAAATTTCTACACAAAAATAATTTCAAAATTATAGAACAGTTCGAGGAACATCTATAGTATACATCCTTTACCCAAGTTCACCTGTTGACAACATTTTGCTCCATTACTTTTTAATTTGCTATCTATCCATCCATCCATCCATATATTTCTTTTGGAGCATCGAGAAGATATTGTATATATTATGGCCCTCTATACCTATGTACTTGTGTGTATTTTTTAAGAGTTAGGATATTTTTAATATACTACAGTACAGTCATAACAAATTTAAGAATGATCCAACACTTTTTACTATCTATATTCCAATTTTGTAAATTGACCTAATAATGCATTTATAGCATTTTCCCCTCCCACATAGGATCTAGGATAGGATCAGGTATTGCATTTTGTTGCCAAGACTCTCATATTATTTAATCTGGAGCACTTCCCTGAGCCTTTGCCTTTTATGACACTGACATTTTTGAAGAATATACTCCCTTTTTTCTTTCTTCATAGAATGTTCCTCATTTTAGATTTGTCTGATGTTTCCTTGTGATTAGATTCAGGTTATGCACTTCCAGATGGAATAGTACAAAAGTGATGTTGTGTCTTTCTCATATTATCACATTCATAGGCACGTGATGTCCATCTGCCCCTCATCGGTCACATTAATTTTGATCACAAGGTCAAGTTGTTGCCTGGTTTCCCCATTATATATTTATTATTTTTCTCTGCAACTAATAAGAAATCTGTTGGGAGACATTTTAAGACCTGCTCTTCCTCATGAATGAATTTTTATAACAGTATTTTCACTATTGTTATAAAAAGTGACCTCCACATAGTAAAAGAAACCTACGTTTCACTTATTACACACTTCAGTAAGTTCCATGCCGGTTTTAACATCTGTTTTTATCACAGTAGTCTATGCACACTGGGTGTTTATTAAAAACTGTTCATTAACTACTATCTGGGTAGGATATAGGCAATCTGATTTTTAAATCCAACTGCTATCAATGCCTTAATTTTGATTTAATAAAAAAAAACTCTTTAACTTAAGCTACAGTTTTAGAAATTAAATTAATACAATTACAAGGATGTTCTAGAAAAAAGAAGAAAAGAAAAGAAAGAAATTTTTAAAAGAATCTACCTCTATTTATTCAAATTGTATATGGACTCTGGTTACTATAATATATATTATCCAGCCTTTTTAAAGCATTATGATTTTGAGGTGAGCTTTAATTCAAGGCCTTAACTTGGACTGAACGTAGCTAGGCTATATAAAATGTTTGAATGGCCAGGTGGCTTTAGGTTCTGAGTTTGGTAACAAGAAGACCAAATTTTTAAAAAAAAAGGCGGGGGGGAAGAAAAAAAAAGCTTTTTAGAAATAGTTTTTAAATTTAAAAAAATGCGTGTGTTTTGTTGTTGTTGGTTGTGGGTTTTGTTTTGTTTTAGTTTTAGTTTTTAAGGATGCCTTCTTTCTCCTTTGCTACCATGGATCTCAACATTATGTGAGAACATTTCACAAACCTGAATGGGCGTGCCATTAATTCAACAATTTTTTCATAGAAATCAGGAAACCAGAAGTATAGACCAAAAGCTTACTCTTTTAAAAGGAATACAAACTTTGCTATAGCTCCTTTCTCTTTTGAGCCCAACTTCTCAATTATAACATTGTCTTACTTGCAATACAATAAAATTCCAGCCTTTATGACAGAAGAGATGGGGTTTTTTGATCAATAGAATTCAGCAGCCGAAGCATTAGTGTTTGGGGTGTTTTTTTTTTTTTTTTCCTTTCTGGAAAGCATTTGTAGCCACAGGCTCAAAGGAGGAAGAAAGGGAGAGGGATTAACTCTCTGCAAGAAGGTCAAAAACATAATTTACAAGTGAGGCAAGAGGAGCAGCTGTATCTGTTGGCCCAATCAAGACTACCAGCTGGAGAATTTACCAGCAATATGAAAACCGCGTCCACCAGATGTCAAGCAATGCAACTAGAAGCCAAACATCTTTGGGCTCAATGCAGGACTCTCCATTCTCTTTAGTACCCATATTTCATGTTAAATAATTAAGGTGTCTTCCAAAGGCCACCAGCAAGGTAACTAGAACATTTCCGCACAAGGGACTTAATAACATGATGGTACCCCCATCAGACTGGCTTCAACACTGAAGTCCACCTCATATATGTTTTGTTAAAAAAACAATTTTAGCCCAGAGCCAATATGTAAGGGGTGAGAGAAACTTATATGGCTGCAATCCATTACTGTGGCTTCTCGGGCTTATTTTATATTTGGGAATGGCTTTGTCATCAGGAAGAAAACAATGTTCTGAAAATACTTTTTTGAATAACCATTTTCCACTCATTCTTTAAGCCTGTGCTGTTCAACAGTAGCCATTTCACCACATGGGGCTATCTAAATTAAAAATAAGTATTTTAAATTAAATTTAAACTAATTTAAAATTCTGTTCCTCATGCAAACTAGCCATATTTCAGGTGCTCAATAGCCACATGTGACTAGTAGCTAACCTACTGGACAACTATATATATATATATATATATATATATATATATATATATATATATAACATTTCAGTCATCACAGAAAATTCTATTAGGCAATGTTACTCTAAACTCAAAAATCATCTTTTTTAATTTTTTTATTTTTTTATTTTTTAAGAGAGAGAGAGAGAACAAGTGTGGGGGGCGGTGAGGAGCAGAGGGAGAAGGGGAGAATCTTAAGCAGCCTCCATGCCCAGCACAGAGCCCAATACAGGGCTTGAACTCACAAATCTGAGTTCATGATCTGAGCTGAAATCAACAGTTGGATGCTTAAGAGACTGAGCCACCCAAGCATCCCTCAAAAGTCACCTTTAAAACAAGAAACTATAACTTCCGGGGCACCTGGGTGGCTCAGTGGGTTAAGCCTCTGCCTTCGGCTCAGGTCATGATCTCAGAGTCCTGGGATAGAGCCCTGCGTCAGGCTCTCTGCTCAGCAGGGAGCCTGTTTCCTCGAACCTCTCTCTGCCTGTTGCTTTGCCTACTTGTGATCTCTCTGTCAAATAAATAAATTTTTAAAAAATCTTAAAAAAAAGAAACTATTATTTCCTTCTGTATATACTATGAAATAAAGCAATCTCTGTGCATTTTCTTATGAAATAAGTCTACTGATACAATACGAATATTGTATTAGGTAAGGCAAAGAGGAGGAGAACTCAATAATATTGTATTGTATATTGTATGCTGTACTCACAAAAGCCTTGTGATGCTACTGGCTTGCTGAATAATATACAGAGGCCAGACTGGGTGGGTTAGTTTAATGACAAATAAATAAGTGATAAACTGACATGTATCCTTAATTTGTTAATGATTCAATCTATATCAGACATTGATATTAGAAGTTTCCTTACTTATATCTCCAAATGTGCAACAAAAATTATGTCCTTTAAAAAAGACGCTGCCCACTTCATAGCTTTGCAATTAAGGTATTTTAATACCAAGTAAATATCATATGCCATTATGTGTTTCTAAAAAATTTATGAAGAACATCAAGCCAGTATAAATACTAAAATCCATAAATTATATTTCTTATATAGACTCACCCATCATGGATGCAGGGAAACCAAGCAATGCATGAGTAGCTGTGTATGTCTGTGTGATTGTCGTGACTCACTGAGGGATGCATGCCACAGGCATGTGTCACACAGGGCACAGACCTTTGACTCTGCTCACAAGGACACTGAGCCATGGCACGCCAGGACACACCAGAACACTAGACAAGTCACGTGCAAGCACCTCGGCCACCTCCACCCTGGCACATGCAGAGTGCTATCTAGGCACTCAGCTTTCTTTACCTTTCTTTACCTGTTTCCAACACTCCCTGCAAAATCACTCAGCTCTGTCAACCCATCAGCTCTACTCCCATTTTCTCTTCCCAATCCCCAGTTTCCTCTTTTCTAGTTATTTACAGTTGATGAGGAAGAACAAGATGAAAATAAAGGGGTTGGGGGGTAGTATTTCCTAATCTCTCCTGCTCTGTCATCAAAAGCTAAAAAGATCTGCTGTTTTTTCTTTGGGATCATTAACTGTATTTAATCAGATTCTCATAAAGATCACAGAGCTACTGCCTAACAGAGGCTGAAAATAAAATACATTTTTATCAACTTAACTGGTTAGAGGTTCATGCAAGGTTTTCAGGTTATGCCCCAGTTTTCCCACTTACCTTGGCTTTCCCATCCTGGGCTGACATATATCCAACACACATGCTCTCTGTCGTGTGGCTCCACAAAAATTCCACTGCCGTGGAAGAGAACACAAATAGGCACATTCAGATCACAGATGGAAAATAAATCTTTGCTTTTTAATAGAACAGTTAAAGATAGCTTTATATTTTAACACACTCAGTCCCCTACTTTCCATTTGGTCCTTCATAAATGTCAAGATGATTTAGTACTCAAAACTGTGTAACACCATTTACTGTGAAATGAAAAATATATTTCTTTCTTGTCAAAACTTATGATTATTACATGTAAAATAAATGCTCTTCTGTTTGAAACTTGTAGCCTAAAATTAACACATGCACTACATACTCATACATACAGTACACAATGATTTAGCACATGTAATATTCCATAACGTAGTTTCCATAGTTTCCTTTAACACACACACACACACACACACACACACACACACACAAACACAGTCTTGGTTTCTAACTACCATTCTCCATAAAAAGGAACCAGGATTCCTTGGAGAATATTCATTCCAGGGCTGGGGCAGAGAAATTATAAAATGAATCTGGAACATCTTATTGTGCCAGAAAGTAAGGAACTGCTCAAAGAATGATGACAACTTATCAAAATGACCCAGACATCAGCCCGAAGGGGTTCCCACTGGCTAAATCAGAGTCAAACTAAGTGTCAAAATAAATAATGATAGTAATGCATTTTCACCACCAAATAAAATAAGAAGCATTGAGACTATACTAATGCAAATAAATAAATGAATAAACAAATGAGGGAGAAGAGAAAGCTCTTCCTTATGGCAGAATGCCAACTGATAAACAGAAGAAATAACAGAGTTAGAAAACCATCATGACTGCTAAAACTAGCAGGTGACAATTTGAAGAGGAGAAAACTATTTACATAGTCTCAAAGTATCTCCATAAAGTTCTTACTAAGTGTAACAAGGAGAAGTAGAAGTTCACTGTGGAGAAACCAATGAAGCCACCTTAATCAAATGATGGAAACTCACCTTACCTATTAAGAGAAAATCAACACCGTGTGCCTCCTGATAAGATACTGTGGGACACACCACTTCTGTTGTACTTCTGGCAAAACTGCAGAACCCAGACTGCATGAGGAAACACCACACAAATCTCACACAGGAATGCTACTAAATAACTGGTTTGAACTCTTCAAAAATGTCAAAGTCAAAACATACAAAGGAAGTTGAGAAACTGTTTCCATTTTAAGGAGATATGACAACTAAATGCAATTTGTTATCCTACATTGATCTGGGTGTGGTGTCATAGGAACACTATAGAGACAACTGATGAAATTTAAGAAGGGACTATGGATTAGAAAATAATGCTGCATCAATATTAAATTTTATGATTTTGATAACTGTACTGTGATTATTTAGAGGAATGGCCTGTCCATAAGAAATATACACTGAATTATTAGGAGGAAAGATAGCAAACATCCATCTTGACTTCAAATAGTTCAGAAAAAGCATGCACATGTTTTAGTGTATGAGTGTGGGTAGGCAGGTGGGTGGGTGGGTGTGGGTGTAGGAGGAAGACAGGAGAAGGAAGGAGTGAAGATGGAAAAACAAATGGGGGAAAAAGAAAAGAATGTGTGAATCTGGGTAAAGGAACAGTAGATGTTCCTTGTACTCTTCTTGTAACTTTTCTGTAAGTTTGAAATTATACCTAAATAAAAAGTTACAAAAAGAAAAATCCACGTACAGAGATACACACAAAACCCTGTTACCTTCAAGTAAATACTTTCAAAATTCTATGGTTTTTTTCTAAACCAGAGAGGGAGACAGACCATAAGAGACTCTTAATCTCAGGAAACAAACTGAGGGTTGATGAGGTGGAGTGGGGCTGGGAGGGATGGAGTGGCTGGGTGATGGACACTGGGGAGGGTCTATGCTACAGTGAATGCTGTGAATTGTGTAAGACTGATGAATCACAGACCTGTACCCGTGAAACAAATAATTCATTATATGTTAATAAAATAAAATTAAAAAACAAAATAAAAAATTCTATGTTTTTTTTTAAAAAGGCATTTTTTAAGTTTTGACATACTTCTCCAACAAAAATTTCAAAACTCCCTGATAATAAAATTGCATTGCTCAACATTAAACCTTCTGGGTTCCAGGCCATCCATCTGTTTATATCTCTGAGCTAATTAAGCCTGAAGACAAGTGTTTGAGTTGAGACACAACTGTGGGATCAGTGATCCTAGACTCTAAAGGCTTTGCCAGACATGTGGGGAAGAAAGAAGCAGTAACGGGCAAAAGTGAGTTACTCAGATACATGGCTCATTCCCTCATCATTAATTAATTATCAAACCTGCCAACCTGCTCAACAGACGCTCCACTGAAGAGTGCAGGAAAACAGTGTCACGCAATGAAGCAAGTTCTCTTCAACAGATGTTTTTTCTTCCTCACACATCTGCTTTGAACTTCAAAAATCCTGAAGTCCAGAGCAAGGTCTGGGATATTCTAAATTGCCTAATAGAGCAAAGGCATTCAAGTCTTACTGAATTTCCTTAGAGTAGTGACAAAGCAATTGTATTTAAATATAAAGTTAAGGGATTTCTAAAATTGTGACTTCTCCTTATGCCGCAAATGTTAAGGTGGCTCAGGAATTAGCCATGGAAAGAAAAACACATGGAAATATAGTTGATCTAATTATGAAAGTAAAGGATAAAAACATTACACTTTATTTTTTAAGACACAATTGCACTTATTTTAAATGCATTACTCCCTCTAAAAATGTGGCCTACTTTAAGGAAATGTAATATATAAAAAAATTTAGAATTATGAAACAGGATAAATTGGGTACAGTGACTGATTTCATTAAATAATTGTTTTTATATTGAAGGGTTTCCAGTGAAGTTTTTAGACATAGCTTAGGAGTTTTTAAAGAAAGTAACTCAGTGTCTAGAAATTCAATCTTCATTTATTCAGTTATTGCCAAAAAAAAAGTATTTTTGCAATGTGCTTTGTACTGACACACTATTTTTAATACCTACAATTCAAATACTTATGTATGAGTTAGAAGTTCAGGCTAACCTGAGAAACTCAGCAGAAATAATTTGCAATTTATATGATAGAATGCTTCTGAAAAGGAATCCTATTTATTGAAGTGTATGTCTTAACTCAAGTTAATTTAACAAAATATTTCTTGGTCAAGGGCTTTAGAGAAACAGGAGAGAGATGAACTAACATTGAGAATCCATCATAAGCCAGGCACTGTCTTTTGTAATAGAACACAGTAAAGCCTGAATGGGGAATCTGAGGCTAAGAGCAGGTAAGTAACATGGCTTAGGTCATTTTAGTAAGTGCACAAACTACAATTCAAACAGGGCTTTTGAATTCCAGAACCTGGTGACCTTCCACTGTTCTATTGCTTTAAAATTTACACAGCTTAGAAAGATTCATAATTAGTATTACTGAGAGGATTAAATTCATTAAAAACACCAAAGGACCAACAAAACATCAAATACAACAGAACTATTAGATATCATTTAAGAAGAGCTTTTATTTTTTTAGATTTTTTAAAAATTTTTATTTTTATTTAAAATTAGTTAACATACAGTGCAATATTGGTTTTTGGAGTAGAACTCAGTGATTCATCACTTACGTACAACACCCAGTGCTCATCACAACAAGTGCCCTCTTTAATACTCATCACCCATGTAGCCCATCACCCACCCACATCCCTTCATCAACCCTGTTTGTTCTTAACAACAGAGTTTGATCTCTATTGTTAAGAGTCTCCTATAGTTGGTTTCTCTCTCTCCTATTTCCCCCCTCCTTCCCGTATATTCATTCATCTGTTTTGTTTCTTAAATATCACATATGAGTAGAATCATATGGTATTTGTCTTTCTCTGAATGACTTATTTCACTTGGCATAATACACTCTAGTTCCACCCACGTCATTGAAATGACAAGATTTCATTCTTTACCACCTCTTCTTTATCCATTCATCAGTCAATGGACATTTGGACTCTCTTCATGGCTAGGCTATTGTTGATAATGCTGCTATAAACATCAGGGTGCATGTATCCCTTTGAATCTGTATTTTTCTATCCTTCGGGTAAATACCTAGCAGTGCAATTGCTGGACCGTAGGGTAGTTCTATTTTCTATTTTTTGAAGAACCTCCATAGTGTTCTCCAGAGTGGCTGCACCAGTTTGCGTTCCCATCAACAATGCAAGGGAGTTCCTCTTTCTCCACATTCTTGTCAACATTTGTTTATGTGTTGTTAATTTTTGCCATTCTGACAGGTGTGAGGTTGTATCTTATTGTGGTTTTGATTTATATTTCCCTGATGAGTGATATTGAGCATCTTTTTATGTCTCTGTTAGCCAACTGGGTATCTTCTTTGGAAAAGTGTCTATTCATGTCTTCTGCACATTTCTTTACTGGGTTATTTGTTCTTTGGGTGTTGAATTTGATAAGTTTTTTATAGATTTTGGATACTAACCCTTAAAACCATAACAAAACTCAGAGTCTACTAAAGACAAGATCAATACATTTGACTATATTAAAAATGTTTATGGTATTTTCTTTTGCCATACAGGGAAAAAAAGGTCAAGAGATAAATGACAAACTAGGGCTAATATCTATAATTTGTGGCATAGAAGAAGGGCTAATTTTCTTCATATCTGAAGATTTGTCACAAATCAGTAAAAAAAAAGACAAAAAGAGAAAACTAAAAGGAGTATGACTAGCTCTAAAACATGAAAAGATGTTCTACATTTCTCATACTAAGAGAAATGCAAGTTGAAACCACAAAATATCATTATCCAACTATCAGCTTATCAGATAGCAAAAATTTGAAACAACATTTTTAGCTGGGGGTGGAGAAAAATCACTCTCACTTACTAACTATAGAGGCATGGCCATTTGAAAATATATCCTTGCAATTTGCGGTAGTTATGTTCTATAAGGTTGCCATGAACACTGAATTAGTAAACACTGAGCCACTGCTCCTAAGGGAAATACAGGGTTAGGTTCCTACAAGCCTCTGGTCATAACCATTTTCAATCAATAAGT